GAGGGGTTGAAAAAGGGGGGGTTGTAAGGCACAAAGGGGCCAATGGGGTTAGACATTAAAGAGAGGGGATATGAAACAGTAATGGGGCTAAGAAATTCAAAAGGGGGGCTAGGAGACACAGAGGTTGTTTTTGGGGGGGGGAGCAGGGGGTGGGCAGAAAAAGGCATCTCCGCCTGTCCAGTCAAAAATCCTTGCACCGGCCCTGCACGTCAGTTTGTCTCATGACTGCAGGCATTGTACTTTATGACTAAAAACTATGAAAACTATGTTTTTATCTATAAAAAAAGCAGCTTTCCACACCCTAATAATATGTTTTGCACACCCCTTTTGTTAACAGCAGTCAGTTTTCATGGACTTCTTTACAACTCTTTGCAAACTCTCCAAAACACCTACTTCCAGTTATATCCAAAACCATGGGTATTTCTAGCAAGGCAAAAAGTGTAGCATTATATTTGCCCAATAAGTTCCAAAAAGCGTGTCTTTACTGTTATAGTTGAATGTGCATATTAAATGTAACTTCCATATCTTTGTACAGGACAGCAACGAGGGGCCGATAACTGGTCAGCTTCTTTTTTGATGCTGTGTTTTTTGGTTAGAGATCACCCCTGTATATTACAAATGTTTCCTTCTGCAGGTGGAAGGATGGATCGGCTTAAGCCAAAGATAATAATGAATAAATGCAAATTTAACAGATGTCCCTAGTAAGGAGAGGTCTCAAAGACGTGACAGCACACCTTTAAGATAGACCATTGGAAGACACTGGTTCTATGCTCCTACCCATTTCACACACAGTTACTGAATTACCTTCCTCCGGTCTGCAGAACAGAGATATCTTTGGCTGGCTAGAAAAGAAGATTAAAATTATAATACTTTCCCACAATTTCTTCCCTGTCCTTTATTCCCAGCAAGAGCTGTGTAAAAACAGCTCCTGCTGCAAGCTGGGAAAATTAACTAGGCAAATTCCCGCTATCGCTCCTTATTAGATTAGTAAGAAAAAAATAATTATATTTCTATCGCTTGCTCTTCATGAGTTTCATCAGCTTATTGTGAGAGCCAACAGCGAGGACATCGAACTATCTCTTATACAATCAGACCTATTAAATCAGTGTCTCTGTCACTCAATTTTACTCAAGATGAGTCCTCTATGTAAGTATTAACTCATGCTCGTACCTTTGGTTTGGTAAACAATAAAGATAAAAAAGCAGAGAAAAAAAATATACAAAAATCAGCAATCGTTTAGCAGTTCTGCTATTTTTTGTCAAATATTTTTTATTGAAAGATTTTAATTTTTAACAATAATAATCATTGTAAAACAATGAAATATATGGAACGAAAAAAACATAAATCACACAAACAAAAAGAAACACGGGTGTAAATGTCCATTCATTATAAAATTGATAACATATGCTTTATGAAAAACACTACATAGTGTCAAATAAGGTGTAAAAGCACTTTACACGTACTGGAGATAAATAGTGTACAAACAGTTGCATATACAAACAGAAGAGTAAAAGGAGAGGCACATAAACTACAATCAGGTAAAAATGTCATCATAAAGAGTATTTTCGTTTGACATTATCCCCCCATATGTTCCAGTGGTAAGTTAATGATTCTGTTGTGTTTGATGGCAATCTGAGGTGCATCTCATAGCACTAATACTCTAAGGCCAATGTTAATACCGCTTTAATAGAAGGAATTACGTCAGACCTCAAATTTATTTATTTATATTTATAAAATATTTTACCAGGAAAGATACATTGAGATTTCTCTCGTTTTCAAGTATGTCCTGGGTTCACAAAACATTGCATTGTTACAATAGGGTACAATAAAATACAAAAACAATATTAATACACAATATATACAAAATTTAACATAGAACAGGTAGGAAATATATAATCAACCATAACACGTGCATTCTGTTTTGAGGTAGGTAGAGAGGGATCTCTTAAAGGACTCTAGGCATGGGGAAGATTTTAAATTGTGCGGGAGGTCGTTCCACAATTGCGGCACTCTGTAGGAAAAGGAGGATCGGGCTGCTTTCTTTTTGTATTGAGGTAGACTAAGTAAAGTGTGGGTACTGGATCAGAGGTTATAGGAGGTGGGAACAGCTGAGGAAAGCATTGTGTTCAGGTAGGGTGGGAGTTTCCCAGGAAAGCCCTTAAACACAAGGCTGGAAAGATGAAGGGTGCATCTGGATTCCAACGACAGTCAGGTTAGTTCTTTTAGCATGTCACAATGGTGGATCCTGTAATTACATTGTAGCACAAATCGGCAGAACGAGTTATACAATGTATTGAGTTTATTAATATGGGATTGTGATGCAGATGCATTTATTACATCCCCATAATCAATGATTGGCATCAGCATTCGCTGTACAATCTTTTCCTTTACTGTAGGGCTTAGGCAGGATTTGTTTCTGTACAGGGCACCTAGTTTGGGATAAAGTTTAGATACAAGCTTTTCTATGTGCAGGCCAAAAGATAGATTGGGGTCTAATATCATACCCAAGTATTTTAAAGAGTGGACTGCGGTCAGTGTGCCATTTGAATTTGTTTTGATGGATAGGTGGGAATTGAGTAATTTTTGTAATTTAGGTACTGTTCCAAAGATCATTGTGACAGTTTTGCCAGTGTTCAGGAAGAGTTTGTTTTTTGCGATCCACTTTTCTACCTCTGTAAACTGGTCTTGGAGCACAGCCTCAAGCTGAGGTAGATTGGATTTGCTCGCATAGATTACTGTGTATCTGCGTACATGTGTACAGACATTGGGCAGATCATTTATAAATAATGTAAATAGTAGGGGGCCGAGAATGGAACCTTGGTGAACACCACACGTGACTGGGAGAGGGAGGGAGTTGCTGTCAGAAATGGACACATATTGCGAGCGATCCGATACATACGATCTAAACCAGGTTAGCGAACGATCACCAATACCTGAGTTTTTGAGTTTGTGCAGTAGAATGTCGTGGTCTACTGTGTCAAAGGCCTTAGCAAAATAAAGGAAAATAGCTCCAGTTAGGTCTCCTTATTCCATGCCAGTTTGGATGTCATTGCAAACTTTTAAGAGGGCAGTTGTAGTGGAGTGATTCTGGCGAAAGCCCGATTGATAGCCTCACATAGTTGCGTATGGACACATTTTTCTAAGGTTTTTGACAATACCGGGAGCAATGATATTGGGCGATAGTTAGAAACCAAAGTAGTGTCACCACTTCCAAAGTTTGGGTATGTATCCAGGCACCAAGGATTCCTTAATTAGAGTTGCTACGGGTTTAGCAATTGCCGGCGCACTGAGCTTCAACAGCATTGCTGGGATTTGATCAGGTTCGGACTGGTTTTTCATTTTTAGATTATTAAGATGTTTTTTAATGACACTAACAGGTACAGGTCTAAAAATGAACTTGTCTATATTGGGCCTTTGCAAATTTAGTGGGACCTGATCCACATTTCTAGTTTCAGGATGCATGTCATTTATTAGCTTGGCAATCAGGGTAGTGGAGCATCCGACAAAATAATTGTTAAAGGCATTTGCTACATCTAAGGGAAGTTGCAGGGTTTGGTTACCCACTTTGACAGTGGAGGGTTGGGATTGGATTGGGGGAGTTTGTGGTTTATTTATGACTTTCCAAAAGTTTTTAGGGTTTGAGATGTTATTGTTCAGATTTTCATAGAAATATTGGGCCTTGGACAATTTTGTCTGTTTTGTGCATATATTTCGCCACTGTCTATATGCACAGTGATCATTCATAGAGTCAGTACGCTTAAACTTTGACCACAAAGAATCCTGAAACTGGTACATTTGGATGAAGTCAGCTGTGATCCAGTTTATATGTGCTCCTTTTACCTTCACCTTATGCAGCAGGGCATGCAAATTCCAAATTTGTAGGAGTTCAGACTGAAAGAATTCAACAGCACAGTCTAGATCTGGGATAATGTTAAATCTGTGCCATGGGAGGTTATTGATATCATTTAGAAAGGATTCAAGATTAAATTTTTTGATGGACCTAGTTATTTTAACCTTGGGAGAGGATTTAATAGCCTTTATTTTGCGCACGCAGTACACAAAACAGTAATCACTGAAAGTGTTTAGGACAACACCAGCCTCCTGGATTCTATCAGGAGAAGTGGAGAGAATCCAGTCTAGCAGGGTATGGTTATGGCTTTTAATGTTTATGTGAGTTGGGGAGAAGATTAATTGCATTAGCTGCAAAGTCTTAAACAGCGTGCAAGAACTATTATTTTTAGGATTCAGCCAATAAATATTAAAATCTCCAAAGGCCAACAGTTCACTTTTTGTGTTTTGAGCTATGGTTTCACTAAGGAGACAGTGGCGTCTCTAGGATTCATTTTTTGGGGGGGCACATGGAGGGCCAGTGACAAAAGTAGGGGGGCACATTTAACCCCGCCCTCATCGCAGTTTGACCCCACCCCTGTCGCATGTTAAGCCACGCCCCCGACACAATGTGTTTTGTTTTTTTAATAATACCTGGTGGAGGATTCATTATTTTCCACCAGGGATTATTAAAAAAACAAACACATTATCCTTGATACAGTGCCATAGTTGCCAACATTTGGAAAAAAATTCCAAGGACGTTTTGCAGCACAGCTATCAATTACTGTCTGGGTATAATATCCCTGGACAGTCAGTGCTCTCTGTATAATACAGGGTTGTGTGTATAATAAATTGGGACACTCAGTGCTCCCTGTATAGTGCTGCTCTCTGTATAATACAGGTCTGTTTGTGTATAATATCCCAAGACAGAGAGCAGCACTATACAGGAAGCACTGACTATCCCGGGATATTTTATACAAACAGATCTGTATTATACAGATAGCTGAGCATAAACCCCAATCTCTAGACTACTAGTACCTGTCAACAGCAGCTCCCAGACGCGTGTAACAGGGCTAAAGTGTGCGGCAGCTCACACAGATTATTCAGCGGTAAAGTGCACTCGCTGGCAGAGCCAAACTGGGAATCCCTGGGAATCCAAAGCAGCCCTGGAAAAAAAACGTATGCCATTCCCACAAGTCATATATATATATATATATATATATATATATATATATATGACTTGTGGGAATGGCATACGTTTTTTATATATAGTACATATATATAGTACAGTAAGCACACAAGCTCACTGACATGCGCAAATAGGCTTACTGACAGACAAAACTCTCTGACTCACACACAAGCTTACTACAGACACTCACTTGTATAAACAGAAGGCTCACTACAAAGAAGTTCAGGGACACACACACAAGCTCACTAAAGACAAGCTCACTGACACACACATGCTCACTAAATAGAAGCTCACTGACACACGCAAGCAGTACCATTTTAACAGAGTTAAGGGCCCCTGGGCAAAGCAATGCACTGGGGCCCTTCCTACACAACAACTCACAGGAATTTTAATTATCGATAGGCTGCTGAGTCCATACACACACACAGACTGCTGAGTCCATACACATACACACACACACAGATTGCTGAGTCCATACACACACAGATTGCTGAGTCCATACACACACACACACTGCTGAGTCCATACACACACACACACACACACAGACTCTGCTGAGTCCATACACACACAGACTCTGCTGAGTCCATACACACACAGACTCTGCTGAGTCCATACACACACACAGACTGCTGAGTCTACACAAACACACAGACTGCTGAGTCCATACACAAACACACACTCTGCTGAGTCCATACACACACACTGCTGAGTCCATACACACAGACTGCTGAGTCCATACACACAGACTGCTGAGTCCATACACACAGACTGTTGAGTCCATACACACAGACTGTTGAGTCCATACACACAGACTGTTGAGTCCATACACACACACACACACACACACAGACTGCTGAGTCCATACACACACACACAGACTGCTGAGTCCATACAGTGTGTGTGTATGGGGATAGTGTATGTGTGTAGAGTGTATGTGTATGGGGTGGGCAGAGTGTGTGTATGGGGGGCAGTGTGTGGGGCAATGTGTGTGTAAGGGGGGCAGTATGGGGGGCAATGTGTGTGTATGGGGGCAGTATGTGTGTATGGGGGGGCTGTATGGGGGGCAGTGTGTGTATGGGGGGCAGTGTGTGTGTGTATGGGGGGCAGTGTGTGTCTAAGGGGAGCAGTATTGGGGGCAATGTGTGTGTATGGGGGGAGTGTATGGGGGGCAGTGTGT